AGTTCGGACTAAGGGGGATTTAAAAATGGTGTTGCCCAGGAACATGCAAATGAAGCCCGGGATATTTAAATCCCGAGCTTCATTTGCAACTCTGCTTGCCCTCATTACCCTACCTAGCTCAAACTAACGAGCTAGTGTAGACGTACCCTTAGGATGCGTCTACACCAGTGTTTCTCAACCTTTTCCCATAAAGTGCCCTTTAAAAAAAAGAGATAAGTACCTCCAGTAACTACAGTTTTCAGACACAATTTTTTTCTACCATTGCAGCACATTTGTTTAAACAACTTAATCATAGCCGAGTGGGTGATGAACATTTTGGGTGTAAAAAGTAGAAAAATAATAAAACACTGTAAAACTTAGAACAAAAATTCAGTTTTCTCCAAATTTCAGTTGTGTTGACGTGCCCCCAGACTTCTTTTGAGTAGCTCATGCCACTGGTTGAGAAACACTGGTCTATACTGCACCCTAAACTGAAATAAGACACACAATTTGCGTATCTTATTTCGATTTTATTTAGAACTTTGGCACGTCTACATGGCACCAAATTTCAAAATAAAGCACTCTTTCGAGCCATTCCTTAACCCTCGTGCAACAAGGGATGGTGAAATAGCGCATCTGTTATTTGGAAAAATATTTTGAAATAACAGGTGTGTTCCTTGGACATGGGGTAGCTATTTCAGGGTACCTCTGCTATCCTGAAATAGTTGTGCAGTGTAAACGTACCCATTCCGCAGTAAGTGTGTCCACTCATGGAATTCTTCAGGGAGATTGCACGTTACACTCCCCCACTCTCTGAATCAGATACCACTTCCAAGTGTAGACAAAGTCTTCCATGTTTCTGAGACATGCCTCCCCCTGCACTCACTCCAGTCCAGAAGTATGGAGTGCGGACCTGCTTTTCTGAGCACAGCGGCACCCCCAGCTCTCAGCAGGTGTGATAAAACTGGCCCTGTGTTTTACTGTGGGCTCGATTCTGCTAGCCCTCAAAGCCAGTGTTAAATCCGGAGTGACTCCAGGGCTGTGTCCAGACTCAGGGGTTTTTTCGAAAAAAGTAGCCTTTTTTCGAAAAAACTTCCCCTGCGTCCAGACTCAAGCCGCGTTCTTTCGAAATTAATTCGAAAGAACACGGCTTTTCTTTCGATGGCGGTAAACCTCATTTCACGAGGAAGAACGCCTTCTTTCGAAAGTTCCTCTTTCGAAAGAAGGCGTTCTTCAATGTAAATAGGGCTTCTTCAAAAGAGAGCATCCAGACTCACTGGATGCTTTCTTTCGAAAAAGCAAGCCGCTTTTTCGAAATTTCTCCGTGCAGTCTAGACGCTCTCTTTCGAAAGAGGCTCTTTCGAAAGATGCTTTCGAAAGAGCCTGTTTCGAAAGAAGCCTGCAGTCTAGACATAGCCCAGGTGTTGGACCTCTTGTCTTTGTGACTGTCAGAAGTTAAACTTAGTGAGGCTCAGCTCCCCAAAAGCATTTAGGCACCTCACTCACACTGTTGGTTTCAATGGCGTTAGGAGCCAAAAGACCTTTACAGATCTGGGTCCAGGAGTTTTGTAGCTAACCTGAAGACTGGGCCCTTTCCCCTGACGTCTGTGCAGAGCTGAATTGGACCCTGGCAGTCTGGTTGGTGAATATACCGGTTCCTTTTGTTTGTAATTTCATAGAATCATAGAATAGGACTGGAAGGGACCTCGAGAGGTCATCGAGTCCAGCCCCCCGCCCTCAAGGCAGGACCAAGCTCTGTCTACACCATCCCTGACAGATGTCTATCTAACCTGTTCTTAAATATCTCCAGAGAGGGAGATTCCACCACCTCCCTTGGCAATTGATTCCAATATTTGACCACCCTGACAGTTAGGAATTTTTTCCTAATGTCCAATCTAAACCTCCCCTGCTGCACTTTAAGCCCATTACTCCTTGTCCTGTCCTCAGAAACCAAGAGGAACAAATTTTCTCCTTCCTCCTTGTGACACCCTCTTAGATATTTGAAAACCGCTATCATGTCCCCCCTTAATCTTCTTTTTTCCAAACTAAACAAGCCCAGTTCATGAAGCCTGGCTTCATAGGTCATGTTCTCTAGACCTTTAATCATTCTTGTCGCTCTTCTCTGTACCCTTTCCAATTTCTCCACATCTTTCTTGAAATGTGGCGCCCAGAACTGGACACAGTACTCCAGCTGAGGCCTAACTAGTGCAGAGTAGAGCGGCAGAATGACTTCATGAGTTTTGCTTACAATTTGTTCAGCTCTTCTAAGCTACTAACCCCTCTCCCCTACACCGGAGTATCTGACCTCCCAATTTTAATCTGTGTCCCAAGTGGTACTGTTACCCCAACGGTACAGGTGGGGAAACTGAGTCAGGGGGACTAAAGCTAAATGGTTCGAGCGATTGGTGATTTGGGGGGCCCAATCTGAGACATCTTGAAGGGGCTTGATTTCCAGAGGGCAGGTGTTTTGATGCTCACTGGTAAGTGAGAAGGTGGTAGAATCCAGCCCATCTACTTCAGTCAAGCATGTTTCACGACATGCCACTTCTCAAACGATACAAATATTCATTCAATGTAACACTAAACGCCCAGCTCTTCTCGTGGCGGGCATTCCTCCTCGTTTGTGCCCCGCTGCTGACAACACTCAGGAGGGAGAGCTGTGCGTACAACCAGGCATAAGGCACCTGGAACGGAGCACAGCTCCCAGTTGTGTGTGCAGGAGAGGGCTCATACCCTGCAGCCTTTGCCCCCGTTTTAAAGGGCAATGCACATGGGTGAGCAAAACACAATACAAACTGGACCTCCCAGCTACGTCTACACTGGCATGATTTTCCGGAAATGCTTTTCACGGAAAAGTTTTCCGTGAAAAGCATTTTCGGAAAAGCACGTCTAGGTTGGCAGGATGCTTTTCCGCAAAAGCACTTTTTGTGGAAAAGTGTCCGTGGCCAATCTAGATGCAGTTTTCCGCAAAAAAGCCCCAATCGTCATTTTCGCGATCGGGGCTTTTTTGCGGAAAACAGTACTATGCTGTCTACACTGGCCCGTTTCCGGAACAGTTTTCCAGAAAAAAACTTTTGCCCGAACAGGAGCAGCATAGTTTTTCTAGAAAAGCACTGATGATTTTACATTAGATCGTCAGTGCTTTTCCGGAAATTCAAGCGGCCAGTCTAGACAGCTGGCAAGTTATTCTGGAAAAGCAGCTGATTCTGGAAAAGCCTTGGGCTGGCTCTGCTGGTGTCCTTAGTGCCTGGCTCTCAGCTCTTCTCCCAGCCATCAACCCCCCACCCCTGGTCCTGCTCCGGCCACCCAGCTGCCAGCTGGGGGCTCTGTGGTCCAGCAACATCCATGATCTAGCAGGACCGCAGATGTCGCTAGACCAGGCTGTGTCTAGACTACACCTCTGTCGATGGAGAGATGTAGATTAGGCATGTTGAAATTGCTAATGAAGCAGAGATTTAAATATCCCATGCTTCATTAGCATAAACATGGCCACCACTTTTTTTCGAAACGGAGCTTTTTCAAAAAAAAAAAAGGCAGTCTAGACGTGGATCTGTGGAAAATAAACCCTTTTTCGACAGATCCCGTATTCTTCAAATACAGTCTAGACTGCTGGGTTGTTTTTTTAAAAAAAGCTCAGTTTCGAAAAAAAAAGCGGCGGCCATGTTTATGCTAATGAAGCACGGGATATTTAAATCCCTGCTTCATTAGCAATTTCGACGTGCTTGATTTGCAGTCGACAGAGGGATGCAGTCTAGATGTAGCCCCCGAGAGGTCCAACCTGTATTACCTTGGCTCTTTCAGCATTAACAAAAACTGCTTGTGGCCTGTACAATACAGACATAGCAGTGCTGTTGGAGTCGGTTTTCCCTTAGCGTGCTGAAGTGGGAGTCTGGATGCCTGAGTGCTATTCTCAGCCTCTGCCACTGCCCTCCGTGTGGCCTTGGGCAAGTTCCTTTGCCCCTCTGCTCCCCTTTGTCTTGACTGTTGTAAACTGGGGCTGGGATAGATTCCTACTGTGTTTGTCCCTAGTGCAGCAGAGCCCTGCTCTCAGTTGGAGGCCACAGAAGTTGCTGTCGTATAGAAGGTCACATCTGTTACTGGCTCAACTTCTGCCCACAAGAGATAGTCCTATTCACCTTGAACAAAAAACAGGACTATGTAGCACTTTAAAGACTAACAAGATGGTTTATTAGATGATGAACTTTCGTGGGCCAGACCCACTTCCTCAGATCAAACAGTGGAAGAAAATTGTCACACACTACATAGTCCTGATTTTTGTTTCAGCTACACCAGACTAACACGGCTACATTTCTATCCTACTCACCTTGTCACCCACCAGGCTACATCACTGGAAACAGAGATGAGAACAAACTGAGGCCAGCTCTACACTGTACTGTCACTCCGAGGTGTGAAAAATCCACACTTCTCAAAATGGCCCACCTAACGCCAGGGGAGAGCATCTCCCATTGATATAGCTCCTGCCACGTACAGGGGCGGACTAACTACCCCAGTGGGAGATGCTCTCTTGGAGGGCCGGTAGCATCTTCACGGATGCTGGGCTTGTAAGTGTCAGTCGCTCAGGCCCAGCTGGTTTTATTCTTCTCTGATTTGGAAGGAGTGTTAACCCAGCATCCTCCTATTTGTCCGTACCCCTTATTGTGCCAGCGTGAAGCTGTGATTCCTGCTACACCCTTCTGGGGCGGGAGGGGAGGTGTCTTTTATTTTGTCTCCCCGCTTCACCAGAAAGTTGGTTGGACCAAGAGCAGCGAGGCAAAGAGAGATTAACAAAAGCCAAACCCCAGGTGTTCCCATGAGCCAAGAAGCCTCGTTCCAGGCTAAATCAGAGATTTATTATGAGGGGGATGGGGAAGGAGGAGTTATTAAATTGGAGGGGGGGGGATTTGTATCCTGTCGCAAATCCAGATTGGGTGCCACTCTTTTACATTACCAAGCCATGAGCTCATATGTAGGTGCCCAGAGACCGGGGGTAAGGCCTGGCGGAAGAACCTGAGCCGGGGGGGAGCAGCAGAGTAACTGTGTTTTATTTTTAAAATAATGGCATAAATTAATCTATTTTTGCACTGCAAAAAAGTATCCCTACACTGTATATATTAGATATGTGCCCGGCCAGCTATGATACAGTATGTACAGGGTGAGGGGCTACGCACACCGCAGGAGTGTCCGGAGAGGGGTGCAGCCGCTTACTCCGAGTGAGGGGAGGCCAAACCCTGGTCATCGGGAGATTCCTCGGGGGCGTCCTTCTCTCCTTCCTCTTCCTGGTCGGGCTGTGCACCGGGGCGTCTTTGGGGAGCAGCCAGGCCCATCTTCACCAGCTTGGCTTGCTGCTGTTCCAGACTCTGCTTCCGCCACTTGATCCGTCTGTTCTGGAACCAGACTTTCACCTTTGGTAGAGAAGAAGGGGGGTTAAAAAAACCCAGACTGGCCCAGGGACCTGCGCTCGGCAGGCCCAGTAGCTCTAGAGGATGCTGTGGTGATGGGCGCCGGTGGCAAAGCAGAGGTACCCTCAAAGGCTGAAAAGTTTGTGGGAGATGACAGCCAGCCCCTTCCGCCCCCCTCATGGATCCCTGTCTAACAGGTCCCTCCAGGGGCCCGATCCTGAGCCCACTGCCAGTCATACTCATTGATTTAAGGGTCAGTCCAAATACACATTTGCCTAGTTGCTGGAGAGGGTCCGTTCTCCCTTCACGGGGAGGCAAAGGGGCGTCCGCAGATGCAGGAGAGCTAAGTTTGCTTCCTGCTGGCTGTGAAGCCAGGCCCAGCGCCTCACGTTCCAACTGGCGTCACCGGGCCTTAGCCACCCACTGGCGCTCCACCAGGTAGCTCGCCATGGCAACCGCCCGGGGTGTGGCGTGGGGGAAAGGCCCCATGGGCATCCTGGGGTGAATTCCCTGCTGGGCTGTTTTCAGTTCCCCGCCTGGAGTGGAAAGGGGACTGTGCGTTGCCCGCTCTGTGGAGACTGCGGCTGTCGGGGGAGACTGGGTTGTGACCATGGGTCCTACAGCGCCTGGCACAATGCGACCCAGGTCCTGAGCAGAGCTATTGTGGAGATAAGAAACAACCTTGGGCCCTGCTCAGACCTGTTCCTGTCCCAGGCCCCCGAAGGAGAAATGGGTAAAAAAATCCAGCTTGTAAGAGCCTGTGGAGCTAGATTCTGCCCGTCCCCCTACTCCCAGTGAGTGGCTCCTTTCAGAGGCCTGACTCAAAGCCCTGGCGCACGGAGGAAAAGTTCCATCCCCTCCCATGGGCTTTGGGTCAGGCCCAGAGTAAGGAGTGCACGATCCAGCTCTTGGAAATCAGGCCTGAAAGACAAACCCATTAGATGCCTCCCTTTCAGATCCCTGGTTCCTTGATCCATGGGATTCTAACAACAGAGCGGCCACACTGGGTCAGACCAAAGATCCATCTTGCCCCATGTCCGGTCCTGACAGTGGCCAATGCCAGGGGCCCCAGAGGGAGTGAACAGAAAGTAACCCTCATTCCTAGCTCCTGACAAACAGAGTCCAGGGGCACCGTCTACCCATCCTGGCCTACAGTCATTGATGGACCTACCCCTCCATGAATCTAGCTAGTTCTGGCCCCTAATCTGTTCTGGAGGCTTTGTCCCCTCTGGCTTGGTCTCCACTCCCCTTCCTTTGGGAAACTCTTTATGTTCAGTCCCTTGATTTCCTCCCAGCCCTCCAAAACCGGGCAAGCCAGAGAAAGCCCGGGGGAGGGTCCTGCGATGAAGCAGGTACAGATTTGCTCCATCTTAGAGGAAAACTTATAGGGAAGTCATTGGTAAGGGGGCCGAAGTCCAGGGAGGTCACCTGTGGGTCCCGTCCCCCTGGGAGCTGGACGCACGGGGAGCCAGACCGTGGGGGCAGGCAGGAGGCGGCTCGGGGCGGGCGGTTCCCCGGCACTGCCTCCCCCATCTGTCCCAGGACGGGGGGAGGCGGCCTCGGCTTACCTGCTCCTCGGTGAGGTGGAGCGCCGAGGCCAGCAGGCACCGCTCCGTGCCCACCATGTACTGCTGCAGCGCGAACTCCTTCTCCAGCCGGGCCAGCTGGTCGCTGGTGAAGATGGTCCGGACGCGCTTGGCTTTGCCCGCCTTGGCTCGGAAGCAGCATTTGGCGAGCAGGCAGCCTGCGCGCAAAGCGGGGAGAGGTCAGTGGGGCCGCCAGGCGTGGGGGGCCCGGCGTGGGGGGCGAGCCGAGGGGCATCAGGCTCTTACCTGGAGCTCCGAGAGGGGGGCGCCAGCCCCCCAGGCCCGGGTAGCAGCCGGGGTAGAGCGGCCGAGGCTGCAGGAGTGGGTGCGCCTGGGCGCACGGCAAGGGCGCACCGCCCGGCCAGGGGTCCCAGCGCGCGGCGCTTGGAGGCGGCGGCGGCGGCTCTGAGCGGCCCAGGAGGGCGTCGATGGTGAAGGATTTCCCCGCCGGAGCCTTGGGGGGGTGCCCGAGTGGCGGGGCGCCGGGGTAGGGCAGCAGGGCCGGGGCGGGCAGCCCCCAGGGCAGCAGGGTAGTGGCGAGCATGGCCAGGCTGTGCCAGAGAGCGGCGCGGGGCCCGGCACCGGGAGGAGGCGGAGGCAGCAGGTGAGGGGCTGCTCAGACAGCCCGGCCGGCCCCGCTCCCTCCCTTATATCCGGAGCAGGGACCCTGAAGTGCTAATGGCTCCTGCTGCGCTTTTGTTCGCCCCTAAGTAGCAGATGAAAAAGGTGTCCGGGCCGACAAGGGAGCCAATTAATGGATGGGAGGCGGGGGAGGGGGGGCAGAAATCTTCCAAGACCTCAGGTGGGGTGCGCCTTGGGTTCACACACACCCCTCCCTCCGGAGTCACATCGACTAGTTCCATTCCGGAGTCACTTCCATCCACTGGTTCGGAGCTGCCAGCCGTCGGGCCAAACCCGGGCTGGGGGGAGAAGGGGAGTCAAGACATGAATCCAGAGGCAAAGTGCCCCAAATTTTCCTCACCCTCTTCTCACCACCTCCTGCCCTGCTTCCTGGCTTGGAAATAGGCCACCCCCGGCCAGAGCCGGGCAGCGGAAGGTGCCCGGAGCCTGGGCAGTGAAGCAAACGTGGGATCCTCCCCCTAACTGGGCCAGTTTGGTCCCAGTGGGGTTCCCCAGGCTTCAGGGAGTTGCTCCTGAGGAGGGGAAGACAGGGCTGCAGGTGGCACCTCGCTCCCTCCTGCCTTGTCCCCCTTTCTCGCTTGATGCCGGCTGCATTGTGAGGTTCTTTGCGCGTATGACATAACCCTTTAAGGCCAGATCTGTCCCCTGCCTGTCCCCATCGCATTAAGGCACCGTAACACCCCCGTGAAGGCAGGAAATGCTTCTATCCCCATTTTACAGGTGGGAAACTGAGGCAGAGTGAATACAGCCCAGATCCACAGAAGTATTTCGGCTTCAAACTCAAATTGAAATCAATGGGAAGTAAGCGCCTACATCCCCCTGGGGATCTGGGTCTAAGTGACTTGCCCAGGGTCACACAAGGTCTTTGTGGCAGGGACTTGAACCCAGGGGTGCCCCCAGGCTAGTGCTCAGGCTGCTGCATCTTTCCCCAGCACTGGCTGCTGCTGCTACCTGCTCCTGGGGGCAGCTCTGCTGATGGGATTCAGATGGCCATTAGGTTTTGAAATTCTGAAAATTGTACACCTTTTCCTAATGAGCTGGGAAAAGTCACACCTCCGTCCCGGGCCCCGCAGGGGGGCGGGCCCCGCTCCAAAGACTCCAGCGTGGCCTGCTTTTTATTGGGGGAGGAAATGGGAGTGGAGGGAGAGCGCAAGCCAGGGCCCAAACATCTGCAAAGCGTTTCCCCCAGCAAGGCCGGCAAAAGACAGTGTCCTGTCGTCCCCCCCAGCTTGGGTTTCACTAGGTTCCAGGGACCGCACCGGCCGAGGGCAGAGCCCCACCACAAGCGCAAGGGGGCCACTCCCAGAGCTGAGAAAGTCATTATGGGGCTCGCCGGAGGCAGCGCCGCCTGCGCCTGCCACGAAGGGGATGTGTCCTCTTCTGCAGCTGCTGCAGGGCTGGTTGGGGAGGGGAGGGGACTGGAAAACACACGCACACACCCACATACACACATAGAGACACATACATGCACTCACACACATGCACATCCACATGCATGCACGCACACTCATACAGACACACTCACATGCACATGCACACATACAGAGCCACACACATGCAATGTGCACACACTCATACAGACACCCACACACACACATGCACAAACACACACATGCAGGCACGCACACTCATACAGATACTCACGCACACACAGACACATGCACAAACACACATGCAGGCACACACACTCATACAGACACATGCACATGCACACACACATGCACGTACACACACTCATACAGACACTCATGCACACACATAGAGACACACACATGCACACACACTCATCCAGACACATGCACATGCACGTACACACACTCATACAGACACCCACACACACACATGCACAAACACACATGCATGCACACACACATCCAGACACATGCACATGCACACACACATGCCCGCACACACACACTCAACATGCACACTCACACACACATGTCTATATTCAATGCACACACGCACGCACGCATGCACACACACAAGCACACATGCACACTCACACATGCACACACACACACACACCCCAAGCTGAGGAAGGAGAGGGCTGGGGGATTTGCTATTGTCTTCCCTGCTTCATCTGCTCCTGAAAGTGCTTTGACATTCCCTCGGCTCCTGCCCACCAGACTCCCTCTTGGGCCAGGTGCCCTCTCCCCCCAGCCCCTTGGACCAATGCTCAAGAAAGAATCGAGGGCCAGATGCTGCATTCCTGGCCCACTGACGCTAAGGGCAAACAAACAATGCAGGACGGGGCCCAAAGTTACCGGCTGTCAATCAGTGATAGGGGGCCCTGGGTTGCTTGAGCATCTTTCTGGAGGTTTCATCCCATGACATCATCATGGACGATTAATCGTGGACCCCTGGAGACTCCAGGACAGCCCTTGCTTTCTGCACCAGGCATCTGGGGGAAGTAAGGCCCAGAGCCTCCAAGATATTTTGGTGTCTAACTCCCTTGGGAACCCATGGGAGTTAGGCACTGACACACCTTGGAGCCTCTGGCCTGAGGGCCACCAGCTGAGCCTTGGTATCTTGGATGGGTAGAAAACGCAGAGCCAAGGGGGCACGCCGACCCCAGGGGAAGCACCATCAACGCAGGGAGGACTGGCCCCAGCTGGAACTGAAGAAGCCATAAAAGTTCAAGGTGGCCAAGTGAAGAGCAGCTTGTGCGCCGTTGTCCTGCTTTTTTATCTGTGCGGGGAACGTCCGGCATCTGCAAAGAAAGGCCGGCGGAGCGGGCGAGATGAAAGGGCAGCCTTGCAAAGCAGAGATGTCATTATTAGCGCTTAATGACCAGCCGTGAAAGGCCCAGGAGAGAAAGGAGCGCGGCTCCTTTAAAAGGGGGAGAGGGGCCTGCTTGCTCCATTTCAGGAGTGTGTACTTTCCCTTTCCAAAACAAGGCAGCTCTGCAAACTCCCCCCCCCCCCCCCCCCCCCCCCCCCCGAGGGCGCGCGGGAGGAAAGCCTCTTCAAACGCTTGGAGGGAGCAGCGGCCCCCGGTGACCCCTGAGCTTCCAAATTACTTTTCCTCCCTGACATCCCCTTGCAGAAGAGATGGGCAAACACAGCCGTGTTTGGCCGGGTCAACAGATCTTTCCAGCCCCTCCCCTGGTCAGCCCCACACCTTGCAGGACAAGTGAACGGAGGGGAAGCTCCCCAGGCCTGCTTTGTGTGCCTCCCCCGCTGGGAACAGCTGGGATCCCACCTGCCCCTTGGGCACCAAAACTACCCCTCTCCTTTGTCTCGTGTGTGCCTGCGGAACGGGCACAGGTTTGCTGGGTGAACCTGGAACCTGGGGAGAGCTGGTGCCGTTCTCAGACCTCCAGCTCCTCCCGGCACACGTGCACCCACAGAGCCATGCTGGCCCTGTTTCATTTATAGCACCCTGGGAGGTGGCATGGTCTCCCCTCTTTGCAATAAAACACACAGACATCTGTCCATCCCCCTGCCCAGGAGAACAGGGCGGCCTCGTGCCTGGTAACCCATTCACTGGGTTTATTGCCAGTTACAGTAAAGCAAACAACCATAAAACCCAGGGGCAGCTCCACACTAAGCCATGTGGTCAGAGCGAATTCCGGGCAGTATCGGCAGCTCCGGAGGGGACAATTTTAAGACCAGTTCTGCCATTTTTCTTCAATGGCGGCAGGGTGGGACCCACAAGGGGTCTCAACCTCCTAGAAGATTTCTATCCAGCCCTCCCACCCCTCTCCTGTGGCTCTGAACCTGTCTTTGCAAAGCCTTGATTGTCTGGATGGAGAGAGACCAGAACCTCCTGTTTGCCCCCCACCCCGATTGTTTGATAAAGCGAGTTGGTCTCTGACAGAGTTTTAAGGACATTGGAGGGTCACGTCCAGCGTGCCCTGTAAGCTGGGCACTTCTGCGGCTGCTCAGGAGAGATTCAAATGCTGCCCAGCTGATGAGCAGAGTGACTGCAGCTAGATTTTTGTTTCTAGTGGTGGTGCACATTTTCACATGCCTCAGTGCGCAGAGAAATTTATTCCACACAGACATGGAAAAGAGAGGGAGCCTGGCTCATGTCCCAGTACACTGGGCTGCCACTTGCAACCCATCTCTCCGAGGAGTCTCACATTCTGCCTGGCTTTCGAGTGAGGCAGCCAGGCGCCCTAAACCCTCTGTTGAAAACTCCCTGAACCAGTCAGGTCAAAAGGGTTTTTCCTCCCCTCTTTGCTTCCCTATTTCAGCAGATCTCGGTTCCTTGCTGAGATCCAGAGGCAGCTCTAACTCCGGCATGTGAGCTTCCTCCAGGGTTTGTAATCCCCTTTTAATTACATCACCTTTGTGGTCCCCTCCAACCAAGCCAGAGAGCTGCACCCGCATCCCCAGGGCACAGGCGATTGTGTGGGAAACCCTCTTTTGCTTGGTCTTTGCCGGTTTTGGCTCTGGCACGGAGACACTACGAGGCCCTGATTAACTTACCTGGTATCTTTTAGATTATAGCAGCATTTGTGGACACCCAGTGAGAGACCGTCTCTGTGCCTCCCTCCCCCCAGGGTACAATCGAAATCGACAAACCAAGCCAAGGGGAAAGTGATCACACAGCTGGTGTTAGCCTCAAGCCTCGCTCCCGTGTGTCCATCCCACTTCCAAAGCCTTGTCCATTGAACCGTGCACGTCCCGGCAGATTTCTTCTGTTGTGGGGAACCCCAGGCCCAGGGGTTTGCCTGAATCCAGCCCCCAAGAACAGAGCTCCCCGCCAGCCATTTCCCATCTTCCTTCGTGTGTTGGTGCTTCAGCCACAAGGCCGGAGTACTAATCTAGGCTCTGGTGTGCGAGGGGACGGTGGGGAGTGTCTGTCTGCTTCTCAGCCAGGGCCCCCTCGGTGAGAATTTGTGGTGGGTTGCGACTGATTTTTCTGTGGGTCAGCAGCCCCCGCCCCAGAAGGGTTCCCCGCCCCTGTGCCGACTCCCACAGTCTGTACGGGATGCTGACTTCCTTGAGCTGCCTGGCAACCAGACCGTGCACGGCAGCTGCAACCTGCTAGGGTCTGTTTCTTGCATCCCTTTCCGCTTAAACGCCTGTAGAGCTTGTCGGCCCTGC